CTCTAGTCCTGTACTTAAGCTTCAGTCATACTGAACTATGTACCTGCAGTCATCTGATTGTTCTTGCTCTTTCTCATTTTCTGGAATTATTTCTTTTGCCTTGAACTCATTCCTTCTAATTATGGCTTGACTACTTTGTTCTTAGCCTTTTAGATTCTTTTCTTTCTATGGAAGCATCCCTTAGTAGTTTTCAGTAGGTAGTTCCTAGAAATGCTTTCTTAGTAGTTCCTGTACTTGCAATTGAGCAGTAACCTAGTAGCTTGTAGCCAAGATGCTATGATACAATGAGAAAACTTCCCTAATTGCCTGGTGTTAATAGCCCCCAGGACATGCAGGCACACACACCCATTCTTTCTCTATACGTTAGCTTCTCTCATCAAGATCATAGACCTTATAACCATCTGAAACTATATTTTTTCTTTCCCTCACCCTAAATCCCTCAACTCTAAATGTCTTGTTTGCCACTTTAATGAACAGCACATGCCAGACATATTAGCCATGCAGTAAATATTTATTCAAAAGATGATCACCAACTTTACATTATCTAATTGTTAATGTAAATTAGAAAGATTCAGTGCTATTCTTATTTTATTAATATATTAATATATACTTTCTTGAGTTATATAGAAAGTTTGACATGATAGCCTGGGGGCTAGAAATTCACCTGAACATTTAGCATGTACGTAAATATCCTCTGGAGTGTATGTAGTAATGGCAAAAAAGGTTTCAAATTGCCACAGTAAATTTTATTCATATATTGGTTAGCAGGTGTCACATTAATGAAATTAATTTGTTTTTACCCATTTGTTTTGAGGGCAGAACTGTAATTAGTTCAATTCTGTATCCATAGCATCTGTATCCACAGTGCTTGACAAATGGTATGTGCTTAATATAGTAGATGCTTTATAAATGTTTATTTGAGGACGAAAGAAAGGAGGACCAGCAGACAAGTAGGAATGAGTGAATAAAAATATGAATGAATGAGAAGATGTACATTTTTCTTTACTGAGGCAACCTTTCATAGGCAGAAAAATTAGTTTCTTCAAATGAAGGAATGACAATTATTGTCATGTTCTTATTTAATGAGACCTGATTCTATCTCTATAATGACATAATTGTAAATAAAGGTAAGTTTATATGGAAAAACAGCCAGCAGGGAACTAACTAATAAAATGACAGCAATTATGTGGTAGAATTGTATCTCAACAGTGTTTTCTTTAGGGGATCAAAAGCTGGTATTCCGGTGTTTGAAGGCTATAGAAGTTAATTTACCTTGTATATCTCTTTATAAAACATATCTTGCCTTGCCTTTAAAGACTTATATTTTATACATTTCCATGAACTGTGAAGATTATGAAGATAGATTGTTATTAGTGTCTACATGCCTGTAATTTTTTTTAAATTATTTAAAAACCAAAGAATGAAGCTTTATAATTAGCATTTTTAATGTTATTCCAAGTATGTGGTAAAAGAATGATATGACTATAAAGCATCCTCCAAGAGCCTGGAAGTAAAAGAAAATAGATTTGTCATTGAGAGAAAAAAATTAACAAAAAGAAAAATGACATAAAACTATGATCTGCAAATGCCCTTTAGTGGTTACAACATAGGTTCCTATGCTTCACCTCATCAAAATACCTTTCCACGTTGCCCCAACAGAAGCTCAATTTCCTGTTTGACTAGTGTCAGGTCCAGCCTCTTGGTGGACTGTTGTCCTGGTTCACTGGCTCCTTGCTTAGAAAAACCACAAGCAGGGCCTGTGCAACGGAGTGAATGCAGACAGGAAGCAATTCCACACAAACAGCTTTTATTACAGAAAAGAAGGAAGCTATACAAAGTGAAAATACATTCCAGAAAGAAGAACGGATCAGTTTCTATGAGTGAAGAAAGACATTAAGGACTCCCAGGTGGTTTCCTTTTATTGGCCTTGCCCAGGAGAGGGATTATAGGAAGTGTGGGATGTTAACAGATGATTGATATATGTGATTCTCAGGTGTTCTGCATTTTCCTGCAGTCCCTTTCCCTGACTGGTCCCTGGCTTTCTCTGCCCCTAAGAAGCACCCTCTTTGCCTGTATCTGCCACCTGCAGATTTGGTCCCTGCCTAAGAGTTAGCAACCTGATGTCAAAAACCCTGAAAGTGTTAGAAACAAAGGTGGCAATGAGCACTCTC